AATCTCGATATACATTCAAAAAAGAGTTATTAATTTCAAAATTTCATCCGGAAAATGGATGACTTTGATATCTAGCTGAGATGAATTTTATTTGATTACGTTTATTGATATTATATTCTTGAATTTCTGTTTTGAAACAAAATAAAATTTTAAGGTTTAATTAAAGTTCAGTTGCTAAAAGCTATGTATCTATGCATAGAATTTTCTTCATAGGTCAAAGAATGTACTTAAAAGTTCATGACTTGTCATGAATTGAGCCATTCAAACATAGTACTTTTAAGTCTGAAAGTTCATAGTGCATTTCTTAAATGATTTTTAGGAGAAAACTTTTGTAAGCACCACTTGTCTGCATTTTCTTGTGACTAACTACTACTCATCTAAACAAGTATTTTTAGGATAATGATCTTTCATCTCTTGTTTGTATCTTTAAATTTGTTTCCATGATGAAATCTTTGGTAAGTTTACACACAACAATAAATATAGTTGAAAATAAAAGAAAGGGAAAAACCAAAAAGATAGAAGGATGCCCATCACTATCTCTTTTTCCTTTATTTTATTTTCAAGCATATTTATTGTTGTGTGTAAAATTACCTGGTGAGGTTGTGCCTTTGTTGTATACGAAGTTAATGTTTCTCTCTCTTAAATATCCTGAACTGCAATGTATGGGAAGAAATTTTTGTTTCATGTCTTATACCGAAGGAATATGAATTAATGGCTGTGTGTAGGCTCAGCCAGGGATATATTATGGGCAAGAGGTTGGCACTGTGTCAAGCTATGCACATGGAAGAGTACTTTCTCATCATGATAATGTATATGTAAAGGGACTGGCTCAAAAAGGCTCTCCCCCATGGCGAGATGATGACAAAGATGGGCATTACATATTTGAGCTGGGAGAAAATTTAACTACCCGCTGTAATCACATTCCTTTTCCACATTGAAAAATCCCATTTTGATATATAACGTATAATTGGATAGCTTATGCTTAACTGTTAGTAGGAATGGCTCTGTGTTGCATGTACGCTTTTCGTCATAACAATGTTCTAACCTCTATTTGCAAATGGGAAAGGATCACTTGAAGGATATCAACTTGTATTGTTATAATCAAAACAAAGAAGATAAAATAGGTGAAAAGTTTTTTTGCTATCTTTTTGCATGTAATTATAGGAAGTAATGAATTTCAGTTTATTATGAATAGATATTCTTTTATTATTGTTTTTGTTTTTTGTTCAGTTAATGAGAATTCTATTTGCCTAATTATTTTCAGTTTGCCTTTATACATAAGTAAACTAAATGAAGTTTTCAAGATAAACCAATAAGTTCTCTATAGTCCGTCCTGGACTTTATTTACCCCTAATTTTGTTTGAAACAGGGAAAGAATTGGTACCCAATCTACCCCATTTATGGAGGACATTTTCAGCTCTTTTGTACTTATCACCCTTGATTTGTTTGGTTCTCCTCCAGTCTTCATGCACTATAAAGTTCTTCTGCTCTATTCATTTGCAACTCTATTCAAACTTATCCTATGTTCCATTCTGGTGTCAACTGCCTTAATTTAGTTATGCATGTCCATTTCCCTGGGAATCAAGGAATATGAATTAAGACATGTTAATATTGGTTTAATCTGTCTACATAATGTCCTTACTTTATTTGTGCTTCTAAATTTGTTTTTGCAGATAAGATCCTTAGGAAGATTGGGGAAGGTCAGTCTTGAACCACTTTGGTAATGTTTCTACACGTCTCTTTCCCTGTGAATTTTCTCTTCAATATACTCTTCTAGTTCTACAGGTACCTTTGGTCAAGTTCTGGAATGCTGGGATAGGGATCAGAAGGAGTTGGTTGCTATAAAAATTGTCCGCAGCATTAAAAAGTATCGTGAGGCTGCAATGGTAGAAGTTGATGTGCTTCAGTTGCTTGGAAGATATGACAGGAGTGGCAGTCGGTAAGTGCATATCATTACTAATTGTTCTGTTCACTTCTCATTCAAAGTTGTGTGATTAAAAGAGTTCATTCCTTGCAGTTGTGTTCAATTACGGAACTGGTTTGATTACCGTAACCATATATGTTTAGTAAGTATATTATTAATTCATGGTAACCTCATTTCCCCAGCTTTGCAAATTATATGGGGACTTAAGGCTTGTCAATGAATTTAAATGGTCTTAACAGGTGTTTGAGAAGCTTGGACCAAGTTTATTCGATTTTCTACGGAAAAACAATTATCGCTCATTTCCAGTTGACCTAGTTCGTGAGATTGCCAGACAACTGTTGGAATGTGTAGCATGTGTGTAGTCAGATTCTGCCATTTCTTTTATCTTTGCCATCCTCATGGCCTTGCTTTCTATAGGAGCTATTTGAATACTATCTTCTTATTTTACCTTCTGAGGTCTACCCTTGTTTTGATTTTTTAATACTGAAGCTTCAGTCTTTCTGTTGGCATGCTGCTATGTTTTTTCATGTTTGAATGCATTCATCTTGTCTTTGAAGTTCTTCTGGTTTCTGATATTTTGCGTTTCTTTTTCTCTTTTTGCCAGTCATGCATGATATGCGTCTAATCCACACTGATTTGAAGCCTGAGAATATACTCTTTGTATCTCCAGACTACATAAGAGTCCCTGACTACAAGGTGCATGACATTAACAGTTGAGGATTGAATCAAACCCAACCCCCCATCCCCACAACCAAAAACAAAAGAAGAGTATGAAAGATTGAAAGGGAAGGAAAAGAGTAATATGTAATCTAGTTTGGCCTTTTCTTACAATCTGGAATACAAAAGGCTTACATTAATATAATTTTTCTCTCAACAGCTATTTCAATTTGACTGTAACTCTTCTTTAGGCTTCTCAAAATAATGGCCCTTTCACTTAATAATTTACTCTACATTTTGTTTAAGGAAATTTGTTAATTCTGCTTGTGCATTTACAGTTTGCACCATGGCCACCAAGAGATGGATCATTCTATAAGAGGTTACCAAAATCAAGTGCTATCAAAGTGATTGATTTTGGTAGCACAGCTTATGAGCGTCAAGATCACAACTATATTGTCTCTACTAGACATTACCGTGCACCTGAGGTTATCCTGGGTAGATAGTCTTGTTCTTCCTCTCTCTTCTTTAAGAGTTTCCATTCCATCATTTAACTATGTGTTTTGTATTTTATTTCTCTATTTTCTTCAAAAGTGAACTAAAGTGCCGATCTCTATTTAGGTCTTGGATGGAGCTACCCATGTGATATGTGGAGTGTTGGATGTATATTGGTAGAACTGTGCTCGGTATATTAAGAATATTCATTTTTTTTTATTGGACGAACAACACTGCTCAAATATTTCATGGAAGTAAATCAAAACCGCATGCATATGTTGGTATTGCAGGGTGAAGCTTTGTTCCAAACACATGAAAACTTAGAGCACCTTGCCATGATGGAGAGAGTTTTGGGTCCTTTGCCACTGCACATTTTGAAAAGAGCTGAGTGAGTACCCATTCGTTCATAACGATTAACATCGTTGTCCATTATCATGCTCGTTGTTAATAGGCTTGTGTTTATTGGTTTAGTCGACATGCTGAGAAATATGTGAAAAGGGGTAGACTTGACTGGCCAGAAGGTGCAACATCAAGGAATAGCATTAAGTCTGTCATGAAATTACCTCGTCTTCAGGTAGATTATAGCATGGTTTAGTGATGTGTTAACTTTCGTTGTTCCACTATTTTGTGAGATGAAACTTGCTTTGCGTTTTGTTTGCAGAACTTGGTGATGCAGCATGTTGATCACTCAGCAGGTGATCTTATCGACCTCCTGCAAGGACTACTTAGATATGACCCGTCTATAAGGATGACAGCTCGAAATGCACTCAAGCATCCGTTTTTCACTTGTGACCAATTAAGGAGGTCATAAGCGACAGCACTGTGGTGTGGATGATTTGTTGCCTAACACAGATGCCCCATGGCACTTTGCGTGGATTGCTTAGAACGCCTAAACTCTTTGCCCAACACATTGTTTCTTGGAGCTCTTGTAAATAACGTCATCACGATTCACGAGATGCCCTTTCATTCCGAGTTGTGATCTTGTGCTTCTGCTGCTGCCTGGCCCCCTGACCCTGGCAGCGTAAGTTTTGTAAGAGCTTTTCTCTTCCTGAAACTGGATCTTCTACTTGTTTACAAATGATGTACAATTTCAGTTTGTAAGTCTATTTGTTATGTTAATAATACATCATCTCCATTATTTTTTATTTTTTTTACTATTTGCATTTGTAAATTGTGCTTCGTTTTCTGAAGCTGATCAGTTGTCAATAGTTATTGCGTGGGTTGGGTCTTGTATGGACCAATTGTTATATTGTGCACCATGGTGCACAATAATCCCCTGTTTTGTATGTACATAATTGTATAGTAGAATACATATAAACTATTAACATAATACACATAATTTTAACATAATACATAATTACATAAATTCTTAACATAATACATATAAACTTGCATAATACACATGAAATCTTAACATAATATACATAAACTCTTAACGTAATATACATAAACTCTCAATGTAATACACATAATACACATATAAACTCTTAGGTGCACAATGCATTGTGCACCCTGTAATACACATAATACACATATAAACTCTTAGGTGCACAATGCATTGTGCACCCTGGTGCACGATATAATTTGCTTGTGTGGACCACGGTCCAAAAACGACGTCGTTTTGTGGTACCTTTTTTTTTTTTTTTTTCATGTAACCCATTCCAACATAAATTTTTATACTCCGTAACTTATAATGTACATTATTCTAAATTAAAGTACATTTTATCTTACCCAAGAAGTTTTATTATTTTAACACATAAAATACATTATTTTAACACATAATTTATACTTCGTATTATTCTAACACATAAAGTACATTATTCTAACTCATAAAATTCAACGTCGTTTTGGACCGTGGTTCATACAATAATTTGTCATTAGTTGTTAAGAGCTAAAATGGGCAGAAGAAACTCAGGCAAATAAACGATAATAAAAAGAACCAACCATGAACTTTTTTTGGTACATCAAAGGTGATGAAAATAAGTCCAAATTTGCATTTGAAGGGAGAGTAACGTAAACAACACCTATAGAAGCTTGTACAAATATGATTGGAGTAAACCCCCCACCCCAACCTTAATATGAAATACAAAATTAAGCATGCATGGAAAGATAAAATTTGTGTTTGTTTAATGCTTTGTTGTGCATTTTTTGGCAACCAAGACACCTGGCGGAGGATAAGTAAGAACAATGGTGCAATAACCATAGAGCCAATACGAATACTTGAAAAGACCATTAGACCTTGTTCTAAATACACCCTTCACCTGAAACCACACATTTCCGCTCTCCATTTGCTTGCTTAGCAGGTGGCTTTGATTCGACGAAAACGCAACCTGAGTTGTGACTAGATGAACATCTTCAAACCTGTACTCACCATTCATGAGAGGGAAAGGATCAATATTGGTGGATGCTATGGGCGTTCCATCATGATAAAGACTCAACATTACGGACTTGAAATCTACACTCCCTTTATCGTTGGGGTTAGTGAAGTTTGCAAGTAGAGTAAGATCAGCTGTGAGGAGATATCCCATGTCAAGATAGATGGCATTTAGATTGGCATTTGATATATCAAACACTGGGTTTCGTGACCGGTAGACTAGGTAAATTATAAGGATTACCAGGCCTACAACAATCAACAAGGAGCAGGCAAAGCATGCAAATGGCGTGGTTCTACGCCCTCCTGTTGAAGGATGGGACGAGGCACCACCCCAACGCGGTGGAGGAGACCCCGGGACGTGAGAACCATAACTGGGTGGTAGAGGGAGCTTCCTCTTGGACCGTTGTTCTTCCAGAGGGAAACCATAAGTGTGGTGCCGCCTATCTTCCGGGTTTGATGATGGATGATGATGCTGAGGAAGAAAAGGTAGCGGCGACTCAGGAACCGGAGCCTTATGTGGCGACTCGGGAACCTGACCCCAATAGTCAGGCGCACCCTGAGGCTGATGCATTTGGTGTTGTCTTGGAATCCTCGACCGGGGTTGAATGTAGACCGGTGGTCCCCGTGGTGGCTGTGGGGTTTCATGGTCAAGTGGGGGAAGAAAATGGGGGTTGGTATCATACTGCCGCTGCATACTTGGAACTGAGAACTGGGAATAGAGAGATAATGGGAAGTGAATGGAGGGAGGACTGAAAGTAAACAAGTTTCCTTTCAGTAGTAGTCACAATGAAGAAGGATTGTTAAACTACAAGTCCATACCATAGTAATAATACTAATAGGTGGCCGGCCATGAGGAAGCAAAGAATCAGACCTTAGTAAAGCACACAAGGCAAGTGATCTTGACGATACCATCCATACTCACTTTCTCTTTTCAATCTTTGCTTCAATATAGCACACAAACTTATTCCTTTTTCTGGGTGCCAAACTTTTCTTTCTTAAAGAAACCACCAGAAAAATCATCCTACCCCCATGTTTATCAAATATCATGCCCTGCACAACTACCATTTTCACCAATGTTGCAGAAGGCGCTAGTCCGGCACCCGGGGGCGCCTCCTAAACAGTCGAATAATTCGAGTATATCGTCTCCACTTTTCCCACTCAGGACTGTAAATTGCGAGACTATTATAATCTCACAAACTACTCAACTACACATGTTAGATGGTTAGTTGAGTACATGACTAAAAGAATATAGAAGAGGAGCAACCGAGCAGGCAAAAAATACTACACGGCTGAGTTGGGTCCCAACTCAGCCTAGTTGGACGCCAACTAGGCAGAGTTAGGCACCCAACTCGGCGCCTAGAGCGTCTAGTCAGCCGATTAGTAAGCCAACTAACTAAAAGCCGCCTAGGGCAGAAATCACATCAGCCTAGGGACACCAAGCGCCTCGGCCGATTTTTACAACACTAATTTTCACACAACCCATGGCCATGGATGGGGGTTGGGGCGAAGTGATTATTATTATTCACATTTACCCTATATATTACGGTAACATGCAACCGTTCAAATACCACTGAACCCAAATGGTTTGAAACACACTAGTAATTGGCAAACTCATTATCATGAAACAACATTGCTTACACAAACAATGTTCGCTAGCTTGCTAGCTTGTCTTCCCGAGTGAAAATTCTTCCTGCCTGATATAGTGAAAATTCTAATAGTTTAGTTGGAAAACTCACAACGCTGGACATCTCCATCGGGGTAAAAACAGCAGGAATATTGGTCATGCGATGGAGAAATGAGTTCCATACATGTAAATGTTTCTATTCACAACTGATTTTTCGATCTTAGAAAAGCCATTGTCGGGCCTAATGCACTGCCTCTCAGTGCTTTATATGACCAACTCTTGCCTGAACTTCCCCCCTTATCCCAATTACTTTCCTTGGAAAGCTGTTCCTTTTTTGCATTTAGAGTTTCGCTGAATTGCTCCCACAGGTTTACTCCATTTTCTACGGATAATCAAGGGTAATGTTAGAGTGGCCACAAGCCGAGCCAAGTCTCACATCTTTATAAATAAATATGATTAAATGGGAAACATAGTACTACCTTGGTTGGAAGAATGCCTTTGTTCATTGCCGTGGATTAAATCTCTGTTTTCTGCAAACATTAAACAATGCCGTGAAGACACAAGGAAAAAAGAGCAATGTCCAGCTGAAATGCTCATTTCAGAACAACAAAACTAAGTACCAGGAATGGAAGCAGTTATTTGCATATCATTAGTGCCAGTCAACTCACCAACCGCACATTCACTTGAGCTACCAGGAACTCTTGTTTTATGTTCTAGAATACGAACTTCAACAAGTGACGAAAAATCTATCTGCATGCAAGTTATAGTTTCAAATTTTAAGTGGCTGCAACTAGGCTCAGGTTAGAAGACTGAAGATATCATGTCATCCACAGGATTTTGGGAAGAAGGGTGGGAGAAGGGATGTTAATTTACCTCCAATGATCCATCCTGTTTATAAAGAGAATCATTGGGTTGATTTGGAGATTCATCCCCATCTGACTTTTTACTAGAAATTGGAAACTCAGGGACTGGCGTCAATGAAACTCTACCTGATTGAGAATCATATGATGATACTTTCCCAACCTTCAACAAAAGGGAACATCAGTACTTTGTTGCCATGATCCTATGCATGACCAAAATTACCAACCCTAATAGAGATGGAAAATACCTGATAGCAGGAGAGCTCAGGGGTCCAGGTGGATGATAGTTCAAGCAACCTATATGCAATCACATCACCTTCCTACCAAAAAGAGAAGAAAATTCGACATAAACATGCGAAATAAAATCTATGAAGGCCATGAAGCAACGAGTCATAGGTTCATAGCCGTAGACGTTTCTTATCATAAATTGCATTATATATACAAAAGTCACAAAAAGAAAGCAAATATCCATTCCAGTGATCTACTGAAAGCAGAAATGTGTCAGTGAAATAAACAAACTAACCTTGGGATAGCCAGAGAGGAACGGAGATTTGGTAAAGTCAAATGGTTCATTAGAATGTGTTGTTTTTTCATCATTTGGCATTCCAGATTGTTCTATGTTTGAACCATTAAGTTCATTTCTTGGTGAACATGAAAATTTCTCTGTACCCCATTTCTGACCCTTTTTCTTGCTAGTGATCCCATTCCACCTGAAATTTTCCTGAAAGCAGAACTCACAAATTCATCATTATGAAACTTAACAAGAAGACCAATGGTTCAACACTCTAATAACTAATAAAATGAAACTCTGAGTAGTATAGCAGTGCCTAAGAAAATTAACTTAAAGAAACTATGCAACTTAAAGCAGTTCAATTACTAGAGACAGTTGTCTCACTTCAGGTTTCCACTAAGTGAGAAACAGAACTCTCAGATGGAAAACATTGAAACAACAAAAAATTTACTCACGAATGAGATGAGCATCTTGATAAAAAATGGAATCAACATACCATGTTTAATTGATTCTGTTCCACAGTTCGTTCTGCAGCACAGAAAAAATATTTCAACTATTAGTATTACTATAATACACCATGCAATAGTTTTCAAGCAATCAGGTCATAAATCATAATTCAGAAAAAGGCAGGGAAAATTGGATTCAGAAAAGTGCAGATAGCTATACAAAATCTTAAGTTCGAACATAAACTACTAATGAAACCATTAACTGGGGATTTAAAGAACCTTTTTTAAATCCTTTTATGTAATGAGAGTTGAGTGGCTATGCAGGAGAAAATGAAAATGAGGCAAAAAAATAAAATAAAATAAAATAAAAAGAGTTCCAAGTCTTATTACTCCAAGCATCAAATAATTGGACTACAAATCACTCATCCAATTGAATAAAGTTCAACTATGTAGTCAGCATACAGCTTTGTAAAGCAAACAATTTGTCTAAGAGAAGTATGGAAACAACACCAAGATATGAACGTGAAAGACCTTTCCCCAGTGGCTCAAATCGGATATGTCCTGGCCTTATTTCAACAGGAACAACTTCAGTTTCATCTTCACTATCACCATTTTGATTTGGATCATCACAGGAATTGTTGTTAGTATCTGATTGTGTGTGTTTCTCTGCATCTTTAACCATATCATTGGCAAGCAATTCATTCCAATTTCGCTGCAAAGATGTTTTGATTAGACATGAATATGTGACAGAACAAAAAGATTTACATGTACTCTGTATTTGATTACTCACAAGTCCCCTCAGTTGATCAGAGGCCTCCCTTCTGTCAGATGTACTTTGTCCCTGCTTCCAATATTGATGCACATTTAGGATATAAGTCAACAAGGACCAGAGTATTCGACAGAAACAGAAACTGTATGCACATTTAGTAACTCACATGTCCTAGACTAACACCCTCTCCACTCTTCGCCCTAGCTTGTCCCTGCTTCCAATTTTTCTGTGCATTCAGGAAATAAGTGTGAAAAACTGGATAGTGCAGAGTATGCAACATGAATAAAATTGTATGCATAATTAGTAACTCACATGTCCTTTTTGCGGACTTACACCATGTCCACTCTTCACTCTAGCTTGCCCCTGCTTCCAGTTTTGCTTCACATTCAGTATATGAGTTCTTAAAGACTTGAGAGTCACAATGTGACAAATGGAAACTATGAATATTTTGTAACTCAGTAACTCACACATCCATTTGGTTGATTATCACCTTCTTCAACGCTTCCACTAGCTTGTCCCCTCTTCCAATTCTGCTGCAAATTAAGGATAAAGAAATTAGTGGTTTGCATACTACAAAAGCAGAAGCTTTATGCTTTTTTTTTTCTTTTTTTTTTTTTGGGGGGGGGGGGGGGGGGGTGGGGGGGGTGTGACAAAGGAAACCCACAACCACTACCCAACGATGTGCACTGACTCACTGAGTAAACCACACTCTTGTGTAACAGCCCGCAAACCACACAGGAGAGGTAAACCTCACTAGGAAGACCTTGTGAGATAGGCTCAACCGAGAGGGTGCTGGCAAGAAACAAACTTGTGACCTTTAGGTACAAGAATCATATAACACCCACTCGGCCACCTCTTTTGGGGCAGCTTTATGCATATTTAATTTATTCACTCGTCTGTTTGATTGGCCAAATGCCTCTCCAGGTTTAGAATGTGTCTCTTTCCAATTTCTCTGAAAACTTGAGAATATAGTGCCAATAGAAATCAAATACAATGTCAAATAATAGTTTCTTTGTGCATATTATATTACTTTCAAGTGCCTCTCATTGAGAATCAGCATTTCTCTTCTAAAAATGCAGGATACCAATATTTAATGGTGCCTATAGAACATAAGCTTTATGCATATGTCATTTACTCACATGTCTGTTTGATTGACAAGCTGTCTCCTCTCTACCAGCTTTAGATTGCATCTCTTTCCAATTTCTCTGCAAAATTGAGAAAATGAGTTTTCCAATAGAAATCAAATATAATGGCAACAGGTGACATCTCTGCATATTATTTAATATCACTTACAATTGCCTCAGATCGAGAATCAGCATTTGTTTTCTGAAAATTCAGGATACAAGTAATTAATGGTAATTATACCAAAGAAGCAGAAGTTTTATGCTTATTTAGATTATTACTCACATGTCCATTTGGTTGGGCAGCTGCCGCTTCTCTTCCAGCTTTAGATTGCATCTCTTTCCAATTTCTCTGCAGAAAAAGACAATATGATTTTTCAACAGAAATCAAATATAATGGCAAAACAAGGCGCATCTCTGCATACTATTTTATACTACTTACAAGTGCCTCTGATCGAGAATCAGCATTTGTCATCTGAAAATTCAGGATACGAGTAATTAAAAGTGTCTATGCCATAGAAATAGAAGCTTTATGCTTATTGGGATTACTTACGTGTCCATTTGGTTGGCCAGCTGCCTCTTCTCTTCCAGATTTAGATTGCATCTCTTTCCAATTTCTCTGCAAAATTGAGAATATGAGTTGCCAGTATAAGTGAACTATAATCACCACAGCTTGCTTCTCTACACATTATATTATTCCATCCTTTTATCAGTAAATTCATATTAATCTGCTTATTATATTACTTACAAGTGCCTCTGATTGAGAATCAGTACTAGTCTTCTGAATTTTAGCCATTTCCCGCAACCATTGCCTCTTTGCAGATTTTCTTCTAGCACTCCTACTACGGCGCTGCCAAATAAAGCAAGCACTTTAGCTGATCATAAAAATGTCAAGCAAATATAGCAATGTAAAATTGAGATCAAAGTGAATTCATATACAAAGATGTTGGTGCATAAAATTGAAAAACGTAATATAAGATGGAACAACATTGGATGTTGTATTTCACTATTTTGATACTGCAATGCTGCATCATATGGACAGGTATACCCTCTCCCTACGTTCATTGTTAGTAGTTTCTTGCACAGTGCCTGGACAGTACCTGTGTACATCACTACATCATGCATTCATTTTGTCTTTACACACGCTCATTCCTTATACAGTGGTGGGTTTATCCATTCCTCATTTATGCTTGGAGGTTTTGGCAATATGTCCCACCATTGTTGTTAAAGCGTCGCCTAGGCGTCCGGTCGGTGGAGACCGGTGGCCTAACGAGCTCGCCTCGACTTAAAAAAAAAAACCCTACTAATAAGTAGCTGAGAGCCTGAGACGCTGCTCACGCCCTCCCAGCCTCGCCTTAGTGGTTGTTTACTTGTTTTATGACAAGTAATAGCTGAGAATGAAAATAACCCCAATTATGATCCATCAACGGATCCTAAAAGGAAGGCTAAATCTAAAAACCCATGCTGGAAATGCTAAATTATTGCATAATTTAGTACTTATTGAGTTATTGTTGAGATTTGACATTTGAGAATATGTTTATACGCTAAAATGCTAAATTATGAATTGATATATGATATTTATATTCATCGCCTAGTTGTTGCCTAGGCGGCCGCTTCATCGCCTAGGCAACTAGGTGGTCGATGGCACCTCGCCTTGAAACTTCGCCTTAAAAACAATGTGTCCCACCTCCCAGTCTTCTTTCAATGGCAATAAATTTAACCCCAAGTGCAATGATTTTGGAGAGCTTAGGATTTCCCCCAAAAAGAAAAAATGTCAAAAAAGGGGGTAAAATGATGACAAGTATAAGAGCTTTGTCATCCAACAAGTATACTTCAGAATATAATCATAAACCAAATTAAAATATGAGCATTAAGTCATTTTAAATGTCCCCAAGAACTTCATTTGAAAACTCACATTCCCATACTTATACAAGCTCTGAAACAACAAAACATTAACTAGTTCATTGCAAATTTAGTAATGTATAACATCATGACATCATGTTGCCATGGATTTAGAAACAGCTGCAACAGTTTTTCTGCTGGCAATTTTATGCCAAATTTGGAAAAGCAATACCCAGAATAACTGCAGGAACAGGTATTACTACAGACCTTTGGAGTTTCCTCTAACTTCGGTGTTGCATCAACATTGTCCTTTTCAGTCTCTTGGAGCTTATCATTACTAGGTAAACAAACAAGAGGTAATTAGTAATGCTCTCATACACAGATATATTCAGATTATTCTTTAAAAATGCTGATCAAATACAAAAGCAGGAAGTAAAATCATTGAAATAAAAGGAGGTAAGCATGGCCATGGAATTAACAAGAGATAATCATATAGTAAGAGCTCAAGCTTCAATCTCATCTATGACAAACCTCTTTTAGAGCGGTCTTACAATCAATTCAAGAATGGGAATGGTCAAGCTTAGTAACACATACTTGTTTGCGACAGGTGTAGTAACATTATCGTCACTCATTTTGACATTATCCTTCTCCTTTGAGTCAGATATTTTCTGCTTCTTGTGCTTACTCTTCTTCCCTGTCACAACTAGTTGGTGTTTCTTGGCATGCTCAACCTGAACATCAATATCAGGCTCCTCAACTTCTGAACACTTTTTCTTCTTCCTGTGGTCAACAAAGATCAAGCAAATCATCCATGAGATCATTCAAAGTTGTAACTCCCACCATACTTCAACCACGCAACTTGAGAAGAAAGAAAAAAGAGACCCATATATAATACTATGAATTTAGTTCATACTTTGAGCTATGGAGTTTTTCTGATGCCTTCCTTTTCTTGGAGACACCATCTCCACCCAACTTATCCTTAAGAGGAGAAGTATCATGGACCTGGATTTTACCATCATCTTCTGGTTCCTCACTCTCATAACCTCCAGTTTCCTTGTTAAATTCCTCATTTGCCAGAAGCAAAGGTCCAACATTTACAGGTACATCATAGCATTCAATGGTTGGTGTGACTAGTTTTCTCTTCACACTACCACATTATATATACCGCATTAGAAACTCACATATTTCCATTCAAATTAGTAACAAATCAGACCGAAAAAATTCCAGAAGCTAAACTAACCTGATAACATCTTTATTTTTCAGAATACTAGTGGACTCAAATGGGGGCAAGACAAACTCATCCATCTGCATAACATTATAACCCATAGCAAATATTACATCAGAATCAACAAAACCAAACAAAAACTCCCCAACTACAGAAAACATTTGATTTTTCAGTTGATTCCACCAAGTCCCATAGTCTTCTCTCTACTTGTTTAGTCATTTGCCACAACTTATGTAAGAAAAAGGTGAAATATTCACGTAAATCAAAGCAACAAAAACACCCACGAAGAATATATAATATCAGGTTCAAACTCAACCTACTGCCTAGATTTTCCAAATAGCATCAAACAGTATAAATCTCTAGTACTTGATACAAATCCTCATAAACCCATTGCAACACACACAAGAGGAAGGTAGATTGCATACGTAGAACAGGAGGCCATCGGGGCAAGATTCATGGAGATGGAAGAGCTGAAGGATATGGGAGCAGAGGTCTGAGATGGTTCTATGGTGCTGGGGTTTTAGGAGGAGCCAGGTTTTCTTCAAACCCTCTGATTTCTGAGAATCGCTGAGAATGCCTCCACCGAAAATCAATTTGATCCTTAAACAAGTCTCCTCCATTGTTAATGCGAACTTCCAATGAATTCCGATGGCGATGAGCTAGTGCCCAGTGCCCAGTATGCTTTTTAAGTGCTTCTCGAGCAGTAAATTTTTCTATTTTACCAATTAATATGAAAACAAAACACGCCCTCTAGGGATGAAAAGGAAGCATATTTCCAGCATTAATTACTCTAGCGCAAACTTGTGTGAGATCGTCTAACTATGGGAACAACCTCAAAGTGAGGGGACTCCTTGTGCGTAATGAGCATCGGTCTAGTCTCTGTGGTTCATGTTCAGTTGAGCAACCATGATTTACATCCTCCCAAATGCTCTATCGGGGGCCGGGGTGTGAGGGGCCCTTAAGATTGGGGTTCAACATTTTGGAAGAATGAAATAATTCGTGTCTGGTCGGGTCAAGATGAAAATATCTACTATTCTATCTACTATATCTACTATACTAATAAGAGCCCAAGAGAGAGTTAGGCCTATAATGGATAGAAAAAATGGCGGTCACATATTTTAATCAAATGAATGGCTCAGATTAATTAAAAGATTGATCAGATTTAAATTTTACACTAAAATTTCTTAAAATACCCACACACCGTTACTAATTCCGTTAAAATTTTAAGAATTTCCGTTAGTTCACAGTTAACTTACTCATTGATTTCAATAAAAAAAGATGTCTTAGGTTCGAACCCCATCCCAATCAAAGTTGGCATAATTAGTACTCTATTTTACTCTTATTAAATTATTATATATAAATAATAATTTAGTAGTTACAACAAAAAATAATACATATGCATTTCTTTAATTTAGAATTATGTGTCCACAATGCCTTTATTCAAAAAATTTTTTTATTAATTATCAATAAATTAATTAAAAGAAATATTTTCATTAGTTATATTGTCTTTATTTTTCTCAAATGTAAAAAATTTTACATTCAAATTCATCAATTGATTATATTCACTACATTATCTATTATCTTTTTTGTGCACTATTTTTCTAATTAAATATCAAAGTTATAATACAAAATAATGCTATATATTTATTTACCAAGTATTTTATTAATACCATGAAAAAATTTAAAAAATATAATTAATAAAGTCAACCATATTAACTACTTGAGAGATTTTGTGACAACGAGAGTATTCAAATCACACAACAAATTGAAGTGGGAACTACCTCGCAATGTCCTTGTTTGACAATCAGCAGTTAGCGGTTAGCGTTAGCGGATTATACTAGCGGATTTGACCAACGAATTTATTTAATTATTAACATTGGGTAGAAAAAATGACCGCCAAATTATTAAATCAAATGGATGGTTCATATTGTTCATATTTTAATTTTTTCTTTTAAGATTTTCTTATTTATCTTTAATTATATGATTATCCATTTAACTTTTCCGTTAATTCACCGTTAGTCTAATTCTAATATTAAAGTCTAATATAGAATTATAACTACACCATTAATCTAATTCTAATATTAAAGTCTTAATAGAACTTAACCACAAATCCTAATGTCGGAATCTCCTCAAACAATATTAGTATATATTTAATATTTTATGTCATAATTTTTATTTGTTCTCCCTTATGTCCCGTATTTGGTTTCAACCATACCTATACAATTATTTTATTGACAATTATAATCAATCTTGACTATATTATATTGCATTTGTAAACTTAGAGTTACCTATTTAACCCGCACGGGCATAGCTCAATGGTTTAGTGGGTAGTATTTGGGAGAAGAGACGAAGGTTTGAACCTCGGCGGCGGCAGTGCAGGAATTATGTCCAAAGTGGGCAGATTCCTTGTGCGTATCAGCATTTGGCCCTGTCTGCTGAACCATTGAGTCACCGTGATTTACAACTTCCCACAATGCTCTGTCGGGTCGGAGTGTGGGGGGCCCTTGGGGTTGGGGACTCAACCTTTGGGAGAAAAATTACCTATTTAAATACGCAAATTCAACCTTCAATTATCTATGCATGAACAATTTCAATATAATCCTGTCTTAATATACTTTAAAATACTTATTTAAAATAAAATAAAAAAAGCACTGGGCATTATCCCAATCGCGCAATGCGCGTAAAAAACTAGTAATACTTACAAATATTGTACTTATATGCTCAAATGTAATACTAATCAGTAATAAAATTTTGGTTACTTATAAGATTAAATTAATTTTATACGTGCATTGCGCGAATGAGTTAATGCACAATATTTATAATTAAATAAAAAATATATATTAGTTCAAGATTATATATGAGAAGTTCACACATAAGTAATTTAATGTAACTCATAGTATATGAATACAATGTAATATATGAAATTCATTATAATTGTTACTAAACTTTTTTAAAATAGTAATCAAAGTATTTTTGTTGCAAAATGGTTCTAATATATTTAATGAATGCGCGCGCGCGCACACACACACACACACACACACACACACACACATATATATATATATACAAGATCAATGAATGAATCAACGGTACCAGTTCTTTAGGTGTTCTGCTAAATAAAATAATGTAACCCAAAGATATTGGACGATGTAAATATAATGTAACCCAAAGATCAAAATGTTATAGAAAGTGTTTGGTTATTCAACAATTTGTTCCAAGCCACTGAAAATACAAATATTGCAATTTACAATATTTTCACTTAGGGGGGGTGTATTCAATCATGACTTTTGTAGAGTTTTAAAGACTTTTAAAATAATAAACTTTGATTGACTTTCATAGAGTTGTTTAACACTTTTTAAAACTTTATAAGACTCTATAAAAATCTATATAAAAAACATTCATAGACTTTTATCAACTTTTTATTTTAAAAAGTCTACAAAAGTCATTGAAATTCTAAATTGAATACATCCTTACAAACTTTCAATGATTTTGATTCTTATCATTTATAACTAGTTTTTCTACGCGCTTTGCGCGAATAGGATAATGCCCAATAATTATTTTTAAATAAGTATTTTAAAATATATCAATACAATATTATATAGGAGATGTTCATGCATAGGTAATAAATGTTGAATTTATTTATTTAAATCGGTAATTTAAAGTATATAAATGCAATATAATATATGTGAGATTGATTATAATTGTCACTAAAATAAATGTTTGTAACTTTGTAATAACGCTAGTTTAAATACTTAGTCTTAAAACGATAGTTTAAATAAATAATACTTTTGGTTTAAATTTCTCAAATTCTTCTTAATTCTCTTTTGGGTAGCATTGTTATTGTTTTCATCTTTAGTACATGTCCTCTTTTTTTTGTGTTTTTTTTTTATTGGTAGTGTGTCATGTGCAATTAGGTTACTGGTAGCAGCATAGAGGGATTCATCATGCAATGAGATTATGGTGTAGGAAGTTTTAGATTTGCCTTGCTGTGTATATGACTGAGATTTTAGTTCTAATATGAACTCTTTAGCGTACAAACATCTATTGATATTTAGTAGTGATAGTTTTTTCCCTACATGTTTCATGTGTTGTGAGATGTGTGTCGTAGGTTATCATGTGAAAGTATTGAACAAAATATAAATATTTATTATATTTGTATAAAATACTTAGTAAATAAATAAATAAATAAATTTTATATATATATATATATATATATATATATATATATATATATATATATATATATATATATATATATATATATATATATATATATATATATATATATAACATGTTTTGTATTATAACTTTGATATTTAATTACAAGATAATGTAAAAAAGAAGACAATGAACAATGTAATGAATATAATAAATTAATAAATTTGAAGGTAAGGAATCTTTGAATTGTAGAAAATAAAGATAATATAACTAATGAAATTATATTTCTTTTAAGTTTTTTTATAATGAATATTTTTTTTTTAAATAAAGCATTATAGATAGGGGTGACCACGGTTCCGGTTCCGGTTCGGAACCGCCGGTTCCGGTTCTGTGGATGGTGAAACCGGAACCGGAGGTTCTAAAGGGAATTATTAAAAAAAAAAATTTAAAAAAAAACACTATAATATTTGTTTTTTTTCGGTTTGGAACCGGAACCGCCGGTTCCGGTTCCAAGATTTTACAAACCTTAACCGGAACCTTATAGGTTCCGGTTAAGAACCGAAACCTTATAGGTTCCGGTTAAGAACCGAAACCGGAACTGTACGGACGGTTCCGGTTCGGTTCCGGTTTGCACAGTCCCGGTTCCTGTTCGAACCGGAACCGTGGTCATCTCTAATTATAGACATCTAATTCTAAATTAATTAAATGCATATGTATTATTTTTTGTTGTAACTACTAATTTATTTAATTAATAAGAGTAATAAAGTGTCGTACATACTTTTCTTCAACAATAATGAAATAAATGATTTTTTTTTTAATTTCCATTCCTTGTTGAGACAAATTGTTTTGAGAGTTTGTCCATGACAATTGCTACAATTGCTGTCAATAGAGGATGATAATAAATAATTCAAAATATATGGTTACAATATATATTAATATAATGATATAGTAAAAATTAACTTACAAATTTCTTTAGAAGTTTTCATGCATTGATAAAATTTTGATGTGTAAACTTGTTCAATTAGAGCTAGTAGGATGTTAACATTGTCAATTATTTGGAAAATGATCATACCGTTTTAGAGTCCATGTGTAATTGTATTTATGATCAACAACTTTGTAGTTAGGCCGCGCAAGTCTGACAATGATGTAAGAACAATTTTATCTGATAAAAAAATAATAGTATAATATTTATAAAGTAATGTACAATTGTATCATTATAAAAAAAAATACAAAAAATATTAATACCATAATGGCCTAAACCATTCCAATAATGCAAAAACATAATTGAAATATTAAGTTTTGTTCTAAATAATCAGAAGAAGATTAATTTTTTTTTTAAAAAAAAAAAACTTAACCTAAATTTCTTTTTTTTTTTTAATAAAAAATTCAAGAAAATCAAATGATTTTAAAGTAGTTCCTGATTTATAATCTTTGAATGCAATGTATTTAGTCGAGCTAATTATTTGACCAAAGTTTATGTTAAATTTTATATTATATATATATTTTAATACATTTTAACATATTCATAATATATGTTTAACAATTATGCCAACTATACTTGGGATGAGGTTCGA